GAGGGAGTCTTCCCCCCTTCCCCGCGCTAAATTTTGTTAGCAACATCTACTCCCCCCGAGGGGGAAAATACCTCTTCTGTAATTGGCTTATTTAATCAGCGTTGCCAAGTTTGACAGCGCCAGAAGTTTTCTGTGATCGCCAGTTCTGACACTTTCTGACACATGTCAATTTCTTATTTGTATTTTACGGAAAATATTATTATTTATAACGTTGTAAAGGTTGTGAATGTATATTTAAGATTTATCATCTCTAATATTATGGTGAAAACATGCTTTATGTGTAAAAGGCCTGTTGAAAATGCTTCTTCAAGATAATATCATAAGTAAGTACAGACACAACCTAATTATCAGAGGCGGTGCATTAGGCAATCACCTTTAATTTGCAATTAAACTTTTTTATTTTCTTATCGAAAAATTAAAATTAAGAGCAAGTACACTCCAGCTACGTTCGTCTTCATCCGTCTCATAATGATTATAGTAAAGGTTAATTACTTATTATTATTTTAATATCACATCTTTGTAAAGTTTATTGTTATTTTTTTTAGGTTTCCTTTTCTTGATATGAGAAAGCAATACATGGTTCCAAAATATAGGAATTCAACAAGTGACCACCTGAATAACTTTTTATGCTAATGCATTTTTATTACAGATCTCAGGGAAGGAAAATATTAAAGAAAAATGCAATAATAATCAATCCTGTCACTACTTCTACATTATATTCATCTGCTAATAAAATACTAAAACAGCAAGTAAGTAGAGAAACTTAAGTTTCTTTCAAAAAGAATGTTTAAGGAAAAAGGCATAGCTATTTTTTTGTTGACACTTTTTTTTAACTAATCTAAAAGACTAATTTTGTGTATTGTTTAAATGTTCATTTTTTGTACTTAATTTGTTTTAGGTTTAAACAAAATGAACTTAAGATATGCATGGAATATCCCAAAAGAGCTAAGGAAGGTTTTAAAATTCTTAAGAAAAGTATTCAGAGCCAAAAACATAAAATAGTCTTCCTGTCCAAAATATAAATAGGTATAAATATTTAGATATTATGAGTGATTTTTTATTCTATAAATAGAACATAATTTGCTTCTAAATCACTACCTAATGAACTATATTATATAGTACAAAACTAAACAAGAATATCACATTATTCATGTTTTTTTTAATTTCCTTAAAAAACGTCCCAAAAAATGTGAATATTTATTATTGGAGTTAACATCGTTATGCTAAAACAATACTAGAACAACTTAAATAATGTGGATTTTGACTATTTTGAGTTATGCAGATATCATTATGATCTAAAATAATGTTTGTCTGGTGCTATAGTCAGGTATAAAAACATTCATTTATTTAAACACAGTTGCAATATACATTTTATTTAGTTTTAAGTTAAAACCTATTAGGACATCCTAAAATTACTTTTTTTGTTTGATGTGAGATTAATTATTCTACATTTTTGTTGGTGAAATAGGATATATTAAGATGTCTTACTGTTTTCTCTGATTACCTAAAAAGTTAGAATAATATACAAAGACTGTTATAACAAAAAAGAGATATACCTTTACTGAAACACACAATTAGTCAGTTCAATTGTACGATAATTTAAAGCAGAAATCCAGAAAACTTTAAAAATGTGTTTTTACTATAACAAGGACATAATTATTAAAAAAACTTGGCACATTAACATTGACGATGGGTTTTAATAATATATATTATACAAATCACAACGAACTACACAAAATGACATTATTAATAATTTAGTAATAAAAAAGTTAAGTACAATGATGACATTAAAAGTTGAGTTTCTCGAAATACTTTTTTTAAATTGTCTCAGTAACTACCTAGTATTTTTCTAGCACAATGATATTATATGAATGTGCATTGTGTGATATCTTATATTTTAGGAATAAAATTATATATTTTTTTGCAGGTTTCTGTTAACAACGATTCCAAGAACTTTTAAAAATATTATTAAAACGGCATTTGCAAATATAATTCTCAATTAAGAGCTTTTGATCTAACATTAAATTTTTATTCTCTATAAGGTTATAGCTTCCTAAGAAGAAAGTTTATCAAGATTTACCAGACTCAAAATATCAAAATTTTACCAACCAATTGATGTTTCTACTGGTTTTCATAGGAAAATTCTCCTCGAAACTACTAAAAGAAAAGTGGCAGAGGCAACCGAAGAAGGCAGAAAAGTCTTTTGCAAAACAAAAACTAGAAATTTGTTTAAGAATCTAATTATTGTTTGAAGTTTTACCATTAATAATTTTTGATAACGATTTAAGTTTATAAAGTTCTATTATGAATTTTACTCTTTGATAACCTATGTTTAAATTTTTATTAGGACCAAAATAAATTAAAATTTTCACTTCAACTACAAAAACCCTCATAATATTAAAAAGGGGAAAAACGTTAGATTAAATGAATCGGTAAGTGAAAGAACAGTACAAGTGCCAAAAACGGTAATTTTAACTGAGATAGGCAAATTGTTTAAAATCCATAGGCCTATCACATAGCGAAAGAATAATACATAGACCAACATCATACGAGCGATGGGGGCTAGTTCAATTTTCGGTTGAGTGAAAGAACAGTACAATTACGGCGCATGTACTGTTTTTTCACTCAGTAGCCATGTCGTTTCGTAGACAAATTTAACACAGATTTCAAATGGTGGTCGCAATTTCATAAAAAAACCTCTAAATCAGCTGATGAACAAAAATCTAATTTTGTCATTCCACAGTACAGCCAGTTTACATACACTGGTAAAACTTCTGGATATGTTACTACAAGTGCCTTCATAGGCGGTTTTCTCTCGCACACTTTTATGTGTGGGGCGAATTAGACTGATATCAAACCTAATGCCAATCTGCAGTTACCCTTATGGCGGGCATATACGCTACGGTCTGTTAGGTAGACATGCACGATACGACATGAACCCGACCTGCGCAGGCATACCTGCACAGGTAGGCCTCTCCGGTAGACCGTTACGTGTATGCTCGCCATTAGAAAAGGCATACTCAGAAGTTGTCCCTATTAACGTGAGGAAGATAGTGAATATAAAGATACTTTTATTTTACTTTAGTGATGAAATCCTAGAGTTTTACTACCATATATTATTTCTTGGAAAGTCAAAAATAAGGATTCTGATTAAAAATTACAAATAAGTTTGTTAAATAATAATCAATAAGCTACAAAAAAAAATTAAAGCATTTTTCTATAAATTGAGTGAAAGAACAGTATAACTGCAAGTTATTTTTTCAAATATCATATTTTGCATAATTTTATTTTTAAATTTATGTACGTATTATAATCGGTTAACAAAAATTCTATAACTTCACAATACATAATTAGGCCGAAAAACCCATAGTTTTTCTTTAAAACAGTTTTTTTTTTGTTTTTCTCAAAATGGTCATTTTGGATATGTATTGTTCTTTCACTCACCGATTCAGTTATGTTCAGGAATAAACTCTTTAAACATTTATTTACTTAAAATGTGTTACTTTTAGAAGGTATGTTATTAACTTTCTATTTGTACTTGTATTAATTTATTTCATTTTATTATCTGTTGTATTTTCAAATTGATTGTGATATTAATCTTATCTATTTATATATTTTTTATACTCACATATATGTTTTTTTCATTAAAACAAACGTTTATTAGCTTATTAAATATAATAAATTCATGTTGTTTTATTATATGCTTGTATGAATGATTACTTTTATTTCCTTTTAAAAATGAATTTCGAAGACAAAGCCGAAACGGTGAGTGAGAATAAAAATTAGACGAAAGTGACGATATTTACTGGAGCTTTCATCTACACGCTCCTTTTTCTAGCCATCTACACCTGAGCCAGCAAGATTCGTCTTCCCTCCATCCTTACATTCTCCAGATTTACAGAGAAAACGCCGTCCTCTTTACCATATCCAGACCTTCTTTGATGGGGACTATACCACTACATTATCAGCTTTATTTGTTATCCCGAGCAATTTAAATGCATTCGTAATTGCTCATTCTCACCTCTTCTCTTGTAGATTCCGTACTCAGTTTTCTTATTTTTAGTTACGTTTGCACTGCTCTTTTATTTTCACAGCTTTAATTCTATAATGCTGTAACGCTACAATATGGATCCATTTATGTGGTTTATACTATTTAATGTTATTCGTAAGTGACCAACCTATTATAATAATTAAAGATTATTGTATTACAGGCCTGAAGATGTTCCTGTAAGGCCGAAACTAGTCGCTCCTGTATTTATAATAAAATTGATTTTAAGGTTTTATTCTTCAATTGAAAAAATTAGACCTTTACAGTGATTTTGTTTCTTTTCCTGCATTAGACATATATAAGACGGCATTCATTTTAAAAATAGTAAAATTAGCAAATTTTTTAGTTTTTTTTTTACAATTAAAATGTTTGGATAATGTGTGTTTTTATAGATAAATGATACGCCACTGAACAAGAAGGATGTTTACCTTCCCCCTTGTGCCCGCTTCCTCACTTCCTCTGCAGATGTTGCTAACACAACCGTCGTCTACAAACTCGTTTTCACGCTCCCTCTATTAGTAATTGCTCGGAGTATGAGACGCTACAATCATAACCTAATTTTTCGATATACTATCTGACAGCTCTCATGTGAATAAAATCCAACCTCTGTCCAACTAAATTACTCTATAGCCCTGTAAAAAGTTGTAGACTAGAGTAAATCAACCAGTTTTGGAATGAGATTCATAAATCATAACTTTGGACGTTTTTGAACGACTTGAGCGAAGAGTTGTGTTTGTGGAACGCACTCCAAATTTCTCGAACGTTCGTTAACAGTGTCACGTCTACAAAAAGTGATTTAGGAAAGAAACTGAGTAGGCACGTTGTCAAATTGATTCACACATAAGTATACATGTCATAAAAGTTGTTTTCAAATACTGCAACCGTATTTTTTCCTCAGCTTATTTGCTCTTAAGTATTCCCATTTTCACGTAGTTTATTGTGCGTTTTCCAAATGATGACCGCAGCGGCAAAGATTCCACCCATCACTATGAGCAAGCTCTATGTGGGCAATCTACCGAACGAGACCAACGAGAACAAACTCAGGCAACTTTTCGTTGAGCAAAATCTTTCTTGTACGAATATTCTCATTAAAAGAGGTGGATACGCCTTTGTGGATTGTCCAGATCAGTCTTCTGCAGACAGGGCCATTGATAAACTTAACGGGTTCAATTTTAATGGATCAGCTCTGGTGGTAGAGCCCTCTGTGGCTTCAGTGAAAAGAAAGCCGAATGCAACTTTCCACGAACCACCGTCCATCAATGTCGGTAATCCTTGGATGAGAGCGAGCGCGTCTGATCGCTAGTGTTATTCCAGAAGAAAAACGCAGGTGAAGTAAAGAAAGTATATTTTGCACACATATTTTGTAACTGAAATATGAGAAAAAGGACTTTTTGTGTATGGAACACGTGAATAAACATTACTAAAATTTTATTTTAATGTTGTTTTTGTGTTGTTGGTTTTCATTTATGAAGATTTGTTCGAAATTTCCTGTTTTTAAATATATAATGATCTTGATGAAATTGGATTTTTATTTCGATAGCAGCAGGCCTAATTTACAATTTATCGTATTTTATTAGTTTACTAAAGAACCAATCAATAAGTATAATACATTGTTTAACCACTTTATTTTAATAATAGATGTATTCAAATATAGTTTAATAAATAGATTTAAACAAATAAAAAATATTAAAAAGATTTATATGCTAATATTCCAACATAGAATAATGGCTTGTATACATATTATTTAACTATTTAGTTGTCCAATTACGCGTCAATTTAACCGACTTTTCTAGGAAAATCTTCTGATTGGTTTCCACATGGCGGCGTGATGAAAGCGGTGGGATTTGATAGGAAGGCTATGTCAAAACCCCTTTGGATATACGAGGCCTTTCCACTGGCAGTTATTGTTTGACAGATCCTTGGAATGTCTAATACAAAATTGAATAACTTTGATGTTATACTGTATCTCAACCCTCTTGCTCTCATTAAAAGTCTTTTATTTATTCTTTTAAATCAAAACAACATTTTTAAAGTGAAATGGTTTTATAAAGGAAACGATTACTGTCCGAACCGCATAGACATATCGATCTCGACCACGCGACACAACTTACCACTAAAAGACATCTTCGGATCGGTCTTTTCTCTGCCTCCACGATTATAATATAAAGAGCCTTGTCGGATGATGGCGTTATCTTGTGAGTGAAATCTGGAATATACGGCTCCACTTGTCGCATCTCAGATTTACGGCTTACAACTTACAACTCAGCTACTACTATATGCGTCCAGTGAGCTCTCTTTGCTTTACTTCGTTTCTACTCTTTGTTTGTATAAGAAAAAGATTAGTTGGAACAAGATCTTTTTTAAATTCATGGTCTATTTGTTACAGTGGCTATTAAAGACAATAAAATTTTAAATATATTAATGAACTTTTCAGCGATGTTTATGTATAATTTTATTTACCTAAATGAATAAAAAATAATAAATGTAAATTCCAAATATTATCCATATTATTATTATAATTTGATTAGAGCAGGGGCCATAAGACCCATAAGCCCATATTAACTGAATATAAAACAATATTACTTAAAAACTAAAGTACAACCGATGAATAAACAATGAAACAAATGAAATGTTAAGAGGAAAATTTACATTACAAACTGAAAGACCTGCGGGGCAACGGTAGTTTAGTAGGTATAAAAATTACAACTTGAGGGTGGAGCCTAAATACAACAAACTTACTGCCGAGACTAAACAAAATCCGCATTCATTCATAATTTTAACAATTGCATGTAGATACGAGGGATACATATTCTAAACTCTAACGCGCGAAGTTGAGGAGACAAATGAACCGAAAAATCCTGCCACGGCTGCCGACGTTCATCAGTTATTGAGTGAGTCAGAGTTACCTAAATTAGGGAAACCAGAATCGTATTTGTTTTTCTTGCTGCATTGTGAGATATTGTTATAACGCAGTTCGATTTATTAGACGGTTTTACATTATTTTTATATTTTAATTTAGTGAATAGCTTTAGTTAGATTAAATTACATTTAGAAGCATAGAGTTGTGAAAGATGGGCAAAATAAAATCAATATACAAATAACGAAAAAATAGTCGATTGTTTCGAATAAGGTAATATCAATTAATACAGGGTATTTATTAATTGAGTGCCGATACAACAAAATATCAAAAGCTGTTTTAATAAACTTAAAAAAAAATTTTGGTTTTTATTTTCTTACGCGAAAAGGTTGCGTCGTACGAAAGTACATTTATAAACCAAATTTGCTCCAAAATAAATAAGATTTTAAAAATAATTTTGGTTTTTAGAAAAAGCAGTGGCGTACCATATTTTTCTTCAAAAATATTCAGTTCAAACCCGGTACGGATGTCACTGGTAAAAATTTTAAAAATACTTTTACGACAAAAAGGCGGGATTAAAAGTCAAAGTTTAGTCCGTTGGTACATAATATACTATATTTATATATCTAATTTTTATTATTACACTGTATGTGACATGGCTTTTTTGGTTGCCTTTTTTGGATTAACAAAATATTATTTTAATGATATAAAATAAGCTGCCAGTAATAATAATAATTATCTGTACCTAAACATATACAAAGTGAAATCATAAAACGACGCATCAAGAAAACACCAAATTATTAAACTTTTTTAATCTACGTAATAAGTATTAAAAGTAATTTTAAAAAACCGACTTCAAAATCGTGCAGATGCCATCACCACATCTTAACCAAATTTATATGGGACCACCCATGAGGTATCCCCTTACTAACAAAAAAAAATAGAATCATAGAAATCGGACAAGGTGGTAAAGAATTATCGCGTTTGAGGATTTTCTCATGGACCTAATTATTAGATTTTGATCAAATATAGGGCCACCCCTGAAGTACCCCCTTTCCAGCAAAAAAAAAGAATCCTTGAAATCGGACACCGTGTTAAAGAATTATCGCTGAACATTAATAAACTGTATTAATTGTATTAACTAAAAACTACTATATGGCATTATATACATTTTTTTAAATTCATTTTATGTGTAAAAATGTGGGTTCGGTTTCTAGAAGAGTACCTAGTTCACTGTACAGCCAAATTTATATTTATGATACAGAATTTTTTAAATAAATAAAGTTGTAGGTTTAATTAAACATCAAGTTTTATCAGGAATGACATTTTCTGATAAAAGTAACAAGAAAAAGTTTTCCATATAAGAAGCAGACTGTTTGCGAGCCACTATAAATATATATTTTATAGGGCAATCCATATTATATTGGAAAAATAAATAAAATTTTTGTGTAATCACAAAAATGTGATTTATTTTTTAGAATATTGTATATGTTTATTAAAGTTTACTATTTTTTATAAAAAAAGAATTATATTCTTGAAAATATTTCTTAAATTTTTTAACAGGTACACAATACCTTAATCCGTTTATAGTTATCGATTTTAAACAAGATTAAAAAACGTTTTTTCCTTTCCATTTTCTAAAAAGAAACTAATAGAACTTTTTGAAATCGGTTTTCGATGACTTTTCTTCTGATTTATTGCCTTGAAAATGACATTATTTACATAAAAAACAAAAAATTGACCTATTATTTTTTTGAAATAAAAATATGTTGTTATTTTCATAATTTTCGACCGTTCTCTGTTTCCAAAAAAGAAACACGATGTTGTCAAGCAAGTTCTGCTGTAGATATTAACACATTCTGTAATTGGCTGTTTAAATTTTTTAATATTTTCATAATTTGGGAAACTGTATAACATTGAAACTCCTATACCCGAAAAATTGTAAGTAAGCTCTTAATTGTTTGTTTTTTTATCTCACAATGTCGGGTTTAAGAAGTTATATAGAAAAAGTTAGTATTCAATATCATCTAGACCAAAAACAAAAACATTTGTTTTTCCTAAAGGTTTTGGCTTTGGTAATTATATCCATCTGCCACAAATAAAAACCAAAACATGTTTAAATAAATATTTTAAATAAATTATGACCATTCTTTAACAGAGATATATTTATTTGTAGGTATTATGAAAATAGTGTTTATGTCAACAAACTTATGTTCGATATTTGTATCAATTTGTAAAGATAATCTTGTTTAATGATAACATTAATATTTAAAGGTTTTAAATAAGAACTTGAAGATATAACAGCTCGAAATTCCTTTTATTGACCATAATACTTTTTTTTTGGAATAGAAGCATTAGTTCCCGTTTTTCAGTTAAGCTCCTTAAATCAATTCATATTTTAATCTGAACGCTATTCAAGCGCAATAAAAATGCAACAATTAAAAAATATAGTGAACTTTTCAAAAATGTCTAAGTTAAAATGAAAATCAATTTATATTTAAAATTAAATAAGTTTGCTAAAATTTTTGACCGTAGGCTTTAGCAATAAATAAAAGATTTTAGATGTTTTACAAATTTCTCCAAATTTTAAAGCAATGGCTCGTTTTCGTCTTTTATTGTGCCACAATGCACAATCGTTTTTTTCTCATCTATAGACATTGGCTTATATTTTAGAAAATCTTCTCTTGCAACGCGCCTCAAAGAGTGCGACAGATCAAAGCCACGTGCGAAAAAAGAAAAATGATTTACATTACTTTAACGGATTGAAGAGTTGTTAACATGCTGGAATTAATATTATTTTTAACTCGAAGAGGTATTCATAAAACAAAAAAAAAACAAAAAAACCGTGCGATATAAAAGTTAAACAAAAACAAATTTTTATAATTCACATCTCAGTGTATACCTTTTAATTTCGGATAATTTTTTTAATAAATAAATGGTAAAATAATTTTAACATAATTGAGCGAAATTACTGTATGTAAAAAATAACAAAATTAATTCAAATCATTAAATAGTAAAAAAAGATATATATTTTGTTGGTGTTACCCTCTAGACGAAAAAGCTTTCAATATATTTCTATTTTTATTGTAAGAAAAATAAATGCTCCTGTAGGCAAAAATTAAATATATTGTTCCCTTCTAGCATTTTTTAACATTTCTGTTTCTTTTCTTAGATTTTTTTCGGAAGAGACTGATTCAAATTTTTAAAGTGAGTCCAGAGAAGTACGGGTTTAGCTTTTACCTGTACTTACATAAATTTTATTTTAGTAAAAATAAAAAATAATCCGTAAACTTAGTGTACTATGAACCCTTGCATATATGCCAATCCTAGTATTACAGAACTGATTTACGTAAAAAATAAGGTGTACAAATAGATAAAATTTATTTATCCCTCGTAAACATCAGTAAAATATATTATAAATTGTTTTCATTCACAAATATTAATTT